AAGCCTGAAGTTCATGGCTGAGAGGTTCTCCACCCCCTGTGGATCCCCTCTCCTGGTCTGGCACACACAGAAGGACTAAAGTCTCTGTCCTTACTTTTGACACTGCCACCACCTCCTCCTCATGTTCTCCGCAGGGTCTTCCTTGCCTTTGGTAGCTCGGGAGGCAAGGAGCAAGCAGCGTGAAGAGGCAGCGGGGGTAGATGAGTTTTGAGCCGTGGCACCGGTGATGCTTCACGTGGCTTTCTCCTCCCAGCCTGCCCAGTCCTCACCTTGCTGGGAGTGGTGCTAGCGTGGTTTTGCTGTGGCTTAGAGATTTGGCATCAGGTGCCACTGATGACCCTTTTCATAAAGCTGCAGGTCTTCCATGTTGCTTCTCAGTGAGGTGGTTACTGTTTTGCTAAAGGAGTCGGGGGGAAAGCTGCCAGCTGCCTTTGAGCTCACAGTGATGTGCTGGATGGAGGAAGAGGGGGATCCTAGGCTAGCAGGTTAGCAGAGAGAACTGCTGGGGCTCCTGAAGTGGAAAGTCTTTCCTGCTCCACGTGCTCCCTTCAGCCAGGAGGAGAGTCCCCTTTCTTTCTCCCGCACTTCTTTTCGAGTTCCAAAGCCCCTGGCTTTCTTGTCAAAGCTCCTCCTGGGCAAGTGCAGGTCTCCTTACCATCCCCTTACAGGCTCAAGCACAACCTTTCCTTTCAAGACCGATCAGTTTGGTACCAGGCAGCTTCCCAGGTGTCCCAGAGCCCAGGAGAAGCAAGGTGGTGTCCCCTCTGCACAAGCACCCAGGACCCTGCAGCACTTGTCACAGGAATGGGGGCTTTCTCCAGGGGTCTGCAGATGCAAGCTCTTATGTCTGAGAGCCTGGTCCCATCCTGCTGGAGTGCCAGTGCCCTGATTTGACTGGTTTAAAAATATTGAAGATGACTTGAATGTGTCTCCACCTCTGGTTTGGTGCTGCTCATTCCCCCTCCCTCCCTTGCACGTGGTGTTGGATGTTTCTTAGAGACTCAAGTAGTTGTCCACAGGGGTTTCCCACTGTACATCTGAGCAGAGCTTGGAGGAGCTGAAGACCACAGTGCTCCCTTCACCCACCTGTGGCTTTCCTGTGGGTCCAGCTCTGTTCTGGCACCACTCCCAGCTTCCTTTAGATGCCATTTCAGGGGAAAAAAGAGCTAGCCGATGCTGGAAATCAACTCTGCTGAAGCCCCCTGACCTGTGTGGTGGTGAAAGATGAGATCCTGGACGGAGGAGGACACTTTGGGGGACTCACTCACCCCTCATTAGCTCTGATTCTCTGATAAAGCAGCGCTCATGCTTCTGCTTGATAAGGATATACCAAGTATTATGTCTGCCTTATACTTTTATTTAAGCAAGATGTATTCTTGCCTTTGGCATGTCTTCCTTCTCCCATTGTACAGCATAGGGACAGGTATTATGGACCTGACTTTATTTTTCCATGAGTTGGGTTTTCTGAAAGGGAGGACGTCAATAAATAGTGAATACTTTTGGCTGGATCTTGCCTACTGGTTTATTTTCTCTAGCTCCCTGTTTTGGGTGAGTTTGGCCATCAGTTCTCCCAGCAGTGCAGCCACTTGCTCTCTTCGTGCTGACTCAGTCTTGAGGCTGTTTTGAAATGACACCAGTAACATCTTTTTGTTTTGTTTATTACATAATTTAAACATTTTGCTGATAAAGTTTTTTGTCAATGACCATTTTTTTCATATAGCAACAGAAGAAAAAAAAAAATTAGGCTCCAAAACTTTTGACAAAGGTGAAATTGGTGGCATGGCAACTTCAACCCCTTCCCCCACCCCCCTTATTTTTTTTTTTTCCCCCAAAAGGTGTTTGAAGTTAATTTTTCTTTCAGCAAATTGCACTGTTCAAAAGTGGAGGTTCAAATACCAAAACCCACAAGCTTCTTCCCACCCCTCCCCTGCACCCTGGAAACCCTGGTCGTCACCTCCCCGGTGGTCACATGGATCTTCAGGGATGATTCTTTTTTTTTTTTTCCATACCCCCCCAAAGACATTTTCCAAACCAGTCCCAGAACTGAACGACCTGTTACAAACCCCCCATCCCACCCCCCCATAATGGGAGGCTTACTGAGCAGATACACGA